CCACCACCACCACCCACCCGCCACCACCCACCACCCACCGTCAGTACTTTCCACCACCGTCTTCCGCCGCCACTTGTCACCACTTGCCATTTTTCACTTTTTTTTATATTTTAAATTTTTTTAAAACATTTTGTCAATTACCAAACGTGTTTGTAGTTTATGTTTTTCTAAAAATAAACAAAGATCAGTTTATAAAATTTTTATAAATATAAACTGAAAACGTAAATATTACTAAACACACCCAATATTTGGGAGTATTAAAAAAGGAGTATTAGGGGAATACTAATGAGCTGACTCCTCCTTGATGTGATGATTTCTCTATTTTTTAATTTATTAAAACCGTTAGTGGTGTGTTTTTAACTGGTCTTAATCAATTCTGTTTAAAAAAATAAAGGGTATGTTTGGTTTGTGTTTGAGAGATGTGTTTTAGAGTCACTTTTTTTTATATTTTAAATTTTTTTAAAACATTTTGTCAATTACCAAACGTGTTTGTAGTTTATGTTTTTCTAAAAATAAACAAAGATCAGTTTATAAAATTTTTATAAATATAAACTGAAAACGTAAACATTACTAAACACACCCAATGTTTGGGAGTATTAAAAAAGGAGTATTAGGGGGAACAACAATGATTTAGACCACTAAAAAATACATCACTAATAGCACTAATACATTGGAAATGACAAAAAAAATAATAAAAAAATAAAAACAAGGCATAGAAAGTGGGCGGGGCCCACTGCCACATCATTAGTGCTCCATTTAGTGATCCCCTTTTAGTGCTCCCAAACATTTTTCTTAGAGAGAATACTAATGAGGTGACTCCTCCTTGATGTGATGATTTCTCTTTTTTTTTCAAATATTTTTTAATTTATTAAAACCGTTAGTGGTGTGTTTTTAACTGGTGTCAATCAATTCTGTTTAAAAAAATAAAATTTTTTACCTGTCTTTTGAGTAGGTGATATGACAACTCATGAATATTATCTTGTTTGTAGCTCATTTGTTTATATTTTTTTATAAAAAAAATTCTGTCCATACAACTTATTAGAATTGTTTATAATGTATATTTTTTTTAAATGTGAGAGTGTTTGAATAGAATTCTTTACCTGTCTTTTAGTAGGTGATATGACAACTCATGAATATTATCTTGTTTGTGGCTCATTTGTTTATATTTTTTTTATAAAAAAAATTCTGTCGATACAACTTATTAGAATTATTTATAATATATATATTTTTAAATGTGAGAGTGTTTGATGCAAACCTATGAGAGTTACATATAATTTTTTTTATTTTGAAAATTTGTATTAGTGTTGGTTAAATTTCTATATATAGTTTATGAGATAAAAATATCTTAAATAAGATAAAAATAATAATTATTTAAAAATTAAAAGAAGAATATTTTTAACTACAATTTTTTACTCATTAACTTTAGAATAAAATTATATATATTAATTGATATAATGTAATCTAATTTTAAAAAATTTAAACTTTTATAATGTTATTATATACGTCGATATATTAATTTTTAACTTAGCTTACACTGAATAAGTCTTCATTTATGTATTTAGTATTTTTTAATTAAAAGATATTCAGACCAATTGAGGAAGGCTTTGTGTCATGTATTTAATATCTTGCTTTGCGTTTGGCACCTTGCATATAATTGCGTCCACAGTTTTATATAAACCTGTGTACTGCTAAGAATATCCACTGCTACTAGTGGAACTTGTGTTGCGTCGGTGGGTCGGTCCATCTTGTTAAGCATTGTTCATTTAATTTTATTGTTCACTTAAATATTGGGTCTAATACGGAGTTTGGGAGCCTCTCCCAAGGAAGGGGTCCAGGGGGTTTTACCCCAGCGGAAATTTTTTGAGTAGTTTTATAATTTTTATATTGCTTTTGTGTAATTTTAATTTTATATTTATAAATAGATAATTGATGTCTTTTTTAAATTAAGAGAGTTATATTTTTCTATTCATAATAAAAATTATAATAGATGTGGAGGTAACCAGTGGCGGAGCCACATGATGACAGGGGTCATGTGCCCCTAGATATATATATATATATATATATATGCATATAAACAAAATTTTAAACAAAAATAATATTTAGAATAAAATGTTAAGGACATTTTAAAAATTATGAAAACTATAGTGATTTTTTATTAAAAATAAAATGACTACAACAAAAAATATTTTTATGTATGAAAATTTTGTAAAAAAATCTCAATATAAAAACAATATCCATCATTATTGATATGTAAATATAATTAATCTTACTATATAATATGTAAATATTATTAGTTATATTTGAATGTAGAATTCACCCTTCATAGGTTACTTTACTATTAGTTGGTGATATCATATATCAATAATGACGTGATATCATTATTATATGAAATTTTTACTCAAATTTTGTAAAAATTTGATTTATCTTACCATTATATAATTTATTTTACGACTTAAATATATGGCTTTTTTGCATTGTCCATGATACACTAGTTACACATAATACTTTCTTTTCGATTTTACTCGAAATTAATTGTAAAATTTTATGTGAAATACTTTTGTAATAATTTATTTAAGTTTTTGTACTTAATATTAATTCAAAAATTATTATTATCTTCTTATGGTTGGTTATAGGAAAAAAAAAATAAAGTTGTAATTAATAAGTGCACATTCTGATTTAATTTCCTAACTCAGCCACTAGACGTAGCCCTATTCTGAGTGTGTTCTTGTGTATGTGATTGGTTTGATTCATTTTTTTTTCCTTATTTATTATTTCATGTCTCATTGATCTTAGTTAGGAAGGATCAATTCCTAATAGAAAAATGATTCGGACCCATGTTGGGACTGGTAATTGAAAAAAAAAAAAAATTTAACCAATCACAGAGCAAATGGGTCGTGGGATGACCCTTTTGGGGTCTCAACCACTGCTGTTCCTAATAACATGGTCCTATTTTCGTGCTGTACAAATAAAGGATATCTCAAACAAACACTACCTAAAGTCCAAGGTAAATCATTTGGGGGATAAGATCAAGATACATAGGGCCCACCAACAAATCACCATGACTTTTTTTATAAAAGATTCATGAATTGCTTCTGAATCAACAGAAATTATCAGCATTGTGTTTGGTTAAATCTCATCAATTCAAGCAAATGGGTTCTCTAATGGCAGGTTGGAACTCAACTGTCCATGATCCTAGAACTGGTAAGCGCTCAATCACTTACAACCCTTTTCTTATGGTAGTCTTGATTTTAATGGGTTTTCTGATTAATCAAGTGCGTAATTTTTGCAGAGAAATTTGAGAGGAACAGGTCATTGACAAAAGAGGAAATAGAGGCTTACTGGGTATCAAAAAAGAAAGCTGAGGAAGAACGTCTTAGAGCTATTTATGACATATCAATGAAGACCACTAGTCAGATTCAGGTGTAGTAGTGATCTCTATATCAAAAAGTCAGTTACTTTGAAGTTCCTTTCTATATCACTTTGGAGTTGGTATGATAGACAATTGGATGACAATTACATGCTCTATATGCAGTAATTTAAAATTTGTAATTTTCTTTAGAACAATGATTCATTCCCTAATTTTGCTCTCCAAATCCACTGGAGTTAGAGAGGCTAAAGATGAGAGAGAGGAGTGTGTTATGTGGAATAGGGGGACAAAATTAGGATAGGAGGTAGCACCACTCTTTTCTTTATGATTGTAAAATTTATTTTCAAAATTGCCCGATTATTTTATATTTATTTTTGTGTGTTGAATCTAAATGACATTGAAACAGAATTTATTTTATTATATGCATGTAAAACTGAAGAATGATTTGTGATGTTTATGGTACTAGGAAAAAAGCACAGTTGAGGAGTCCGAAAGGAAGATTCAGAGGTCAAGCTCTCTGCCTTTGTCCAACACAAAGGATGGTCTGCTGCAAATGGAAACTGAAACAAGCTTCGAGAAACTTATAATGAAAAACGGATGGTATGTGTTTGAAATTCAAAGATTTAGTGGGTTTTTTGTTTTTTTTGTTTTCTTAATTAAAATCAGTTTGTTTCATTCAGTTTAGGTTGTTGGGAAGCTTGAAGTAATACGAGGCCTTGGGTTTGGCTAGTGGACTTGTAGTGACACCTTAGGGTAGGGTGTGGATAGGAAAATGTTCAGAGTTCAAACTCATATTATCCATAACCTTTATGTAAGGGTTATCATTTGTCCGGTGGCTCAACCTAAGCCTGTCCGGCCCATCACGTTTATATCTAGTCCAAGCCCGTTACTTGAATGGCACTTTCACAAAATGAGGGTTAGATCGCGGTTGGGCCTAGATCTTGAACCCAACCGTTGGTTTATGAGAGGCAGCCCATCATCTCGATAAGAAAAATAAAAAATAAAAAAATCTAAAAATAAGCCCGAATATTGGCCTGTTGGGCTTAACCCATGACCTAACCTATTAGCTCATTGAGCAAGGCTTGCCTTAAGTTTTTGGAAAATTTACATGACAGTATATTTTTAAAAATATTTACAAATTAATTATAAACTTTAAAAATATTAAACTATGTAGTGATAAATTTTATCATTTAATCAACAATTAATTTTTAAAAAGCCCACTGACAATTAGTTTCCCGTAAGTTTTTTGGCCCTGGGTCAGCCAAGCCCATCAGGAAAGCCAATTGAGCTTAGTCCATGAGCGAGCTTGGGTACCAAATTTTCAGGCTGGGCCAGCCTAATGTTGACCCCTATTTGTATGTGTTTTTCAAAAGGAGTTGAAAGCTTATTGTATGAGAGTAGGAATTTGATTATCCTTATATACACATGAGGTTATGTTTGGAGTATGGATTTAAGGAGAGATTTGGAAAGAAAAAAAAAAAAGAAAAGGGTATGAAATGTAATTATATTTTATTCATATTTTATCTATATTTTATTTGTTCATTTCCAAATCCCTGCTTAAATTCATACTTCGAACATAGCCTAAGAGTGTTTTCTAACATTATGAAAAGCTGCATATTTATTTGCAGGTGGATTAGGAGCAACTCTGCATTTTTGAACGAACCTCCAGTAATTGTATCAGAAGTCCCTGCTTACAAGTATGCATCACAGTTCCACGTAGCAGGGATCGCCACCTCCACCGCCACCGCAAACACACAAGCTCCCACTGGAATTAGTACATGATTTAGGATCTTGTTTAATGTATCCTATCTTAACGTATGTGTGTGTGTTTATGTATTTATACGTATGTCCAACCTTGGAACTGTGCTCCAAACTATGACTATAGTAAAAGAGGGGTTGTCTGTGTGAGAGTTCAGCTGCTTGACCTGTACAGTACTTAGTGAGCTAAATCTATAATGATGAGATTTTGTCAAGGCCTCTTTCTTGTTCAATTTGATGGCTCAAAATTTTGAATATTGGTGCACACAATGTAGAACTTGAAATATAATCCATATTAAAGTGTTGTCACTCTTATTCTAATCAGAACATGATAGTGAAATGTTTTTGCCCTTCACCTGGTATTTTAATGATTTGCAACCGTATGCATTGGCATAGGGATTTTCATTTTAATCATGTACTTTTAAAGAGAATTTAAATTCATAAAACATAACTACTAAATTGCAATTATTTTTTTCCTTATTTGATTAATAATGTTATGATGGCTACATTTATATATCAAAAGATGTTCATCTATCATTTTTTATGTCACAAATTGTATTGGTTTAATGAGTTCTATTAGTCATGTTTATTATTAATGAAAAAATAAGATATTATGTGACAAATAAAATGTGATTATCATAATAAAAGAGTAGTGATAATTTAAATTTTTTTTTTTGGGAAGGGGGGTGGGTTACACGGTAAGGGGTGTTCGTTCCAGCTTACGCACACCTCAACTAATTTTTTTCCCGGTCCGATCAAAGATAGGTCATCCACGTCAGGATTAGGAAATTCATGAAAAATTTCTTGCTCATGACCTGATCCCAAGAGTTAAACCCTGAATAATTGTGTGGAGAGTATATCCACCAACCACTTAGAACAATCCTCATATTCAACTTTTAAGTCACTTACGTTCTATGAAAATGTGATAACCATAATATGGAGTAACAATATTCATATTTCACTTTAGTTATTCACATATTATCTTTTATTTTTTAACTAGTCCCAATGGGATGTGAAACCCTAATAAAATCTTAAAACATAATTCAATGATTTGCAATGGAACAATGAACAAATATTTTCGTACTGATATTTTTCCTTACTAAATTGGGCTCGCGTTGGTCCACTTCATACAACAGACAAAACTGTCTACCTCTCTCCTTCCTTCCCCTGTTCCTGTTCTGTTCTCACAAATTATTACAGATCAATTCTGTTCCTACACTTTCCCGGAAAATAACAAATGGCCGAGAAAAGCAAAATTCTCATCATCGGTGGAACAGGGTACATTGGAAAATTCATAGTGGAAGCGAGCTCCAAGGCTGGCCACCCCACCTTCGTTTTGATTAGAGAAACCACAATTTCAGACCCTTTTAAAGCAAAACTCATTGGTTTCTTCAAGAACTCAGGGGTCACTATGCTCCATGTCTGTAAATTATTCATGATTATATGTTAAACTATGTTTTTATATTTGCAGATGTTAAATACATATAATTGAATGGAATGGAACAGGGTGATGTGTACGATCATGGTACTTTGGTGAGGGCAATAAAGCAGGTGGATGTGGTGATATCAGCAGTTGGAGGAGGCACAATGATAGAAGATCAGGTGAAGATCATTGCGGCCATTAAAGAAGCTCGAAACATCATGGTTGGTTTTTCTTCTTTATATTTCAAGAATTCTCCAGTGTCAGTTTGGGATAGATGAAGAAGAAGATGCTATGCTAATTGATACAATCTTCAAATACTTTTTTTTTTTCTTCTTTGAAATCAGAGTTAAAGGTCATTGTCTAATAATTTTGTTTGATTTTTAGTGAATTTCTCTGTTTGATTATCCTAGAATCCATACAACAGGTCAGTTTGTTTTTTTCTCTGTTTGACCTGCTGATTTAGAGGCTGTGAGGTTCCATGGCGAGTGAAAATATAGTCAACGTGGTTTAATTGAAAATATTTTCTCCAAATCAACCTATGCACACCCCTATTTACAACTTATGTTAATCAGTTATCGTCAACACTTACTTTTGCGATAATTGTTCAGATATGTAGTCAAGCATATAATCTTGATTGGGCATAATGATAAAACAAAAGGGTTTTGTAGGGTTAAGTTGAGTATAGTCAAGAATATGAATATTAAGATTTTTATTGAATAATTTGGAGTCTTTAAGGGTATGCACTGAATATCAATACTATTAGTATAAAAAATTGAGATATTATAAATAATGTACTTAATATTGTAGTTCTGATATCATTACAGAAGTCAAATCATATGATAAGATGGTCTTTTCTTTTCCTCACTGGTGAAAAATAGGTCGATGACTGGGAACCTAGAATACACAGAACAATCTTTATGCTTGTTTCTCGACATGTTTCTGGTCTCTAGAGAAGCTATCTGGATTATAGATGCTCTTACTGTTTTCTTGAATTATGTAGAGGTTCTTCCCTTCAGAGTTTGGAAATGATGTGAATCGTAGTAATGCAGTCGAGCCAGCAAAATCTGCATTTGCAATGAAAGCCCAAATTCGCAGAGCTGTTGAAGCTGAGGGAATTCCTATCCACCTATGTGTCTTCTAACAAATTCGCCGGCTGTTTTCTCCCTACATTTGAACAGCCAGGACTCACTGCTCCTCCTAGAGACAAAGTAACCATTCTTGGGGATGGAAATCACAAAGGTATTAAATTATCTCTTTTAACTCATCTCTCTTTAGCTGAGTTTTGTACTTTTATTTTAGCCTTGTTTTATCTTCTTGCTGCACTGGTTTTACTTGTAGCAACATTCAATGAGGAACATGACATTGGTACCTACACCATCAAAGCTGTGGATGACCCAAGAACATTGAACAAGATCCTATACATCAGGCCTCCTAAAAACATTTACTCATTCAACGAGCTTGTTTCACTATGGGAGAAGAAGATTGGCCTGACCCTTCAAAGAATCTATGTTCCAGAGGAGCAAATTCTGAAGCAAATCCAAGGTCAAAATCTAATGTTTCACATTTTTTTTAGAATGGTGGTAAAGTGATTAACATATGTTAATTTGTTTTGGATCTTACGGTTGATGCAGAGTCCCCAACCAACAAAATGATATTATCAATCAACCACTCTGTTTTTGCAAAGGGAGATCAGAACAACTTTGAGATTGAGCCCGCATTTGGGGTTGAGGCTTCTGGGGTTTTTCCAGATGTCAAGTACATGACTGTGGAAGAATACCTTGATCGGTTTGTTTGAGAGGTTATAAACTTTTGCTTTTGTTGTTACTAAAATGAAAACAGAGAGGTTTTGGGTTCAATGGATTCATGTAAGAAAATCTGAATTTTATGAAATGAATGAACTAACCACCATCATTGCAGTTCGAACTCTTTCATTGAACAAATGTAGTTAGTCTTTTGAGTCTTGACAAAAATCTTGTGCACGGCTATTGAACTTGAACTCAACTCGATCCCCCAGTGTCATTGTTTCATAAGCCTCTTCGTTCCAAACTGTGGTTGGATTATGGGTGCGGGTGCTGGTGCTGGTGCAACAGGCAGAATCTGTGGTGCCTGTGGCGGTGCTGTGACTACAAGTGCTTTTCTGGACAACTGTAGTCCAGCCTTTGTTCCTTTTGTTTCCTCACCTGTAAAAGATTGAAAGATCCAAGTTTCCATGAGCATAACAGAAGAAAAAACAACCCTTATAACTTCACCTTAATGGAATGAAGATTTAGTGCTGGAGCCTCCGGCTATAATAAGACCTGGGAAGGGCAAGATGTACCTTTAAAATTTAATGTGGGTTTTGCAGAAGCCGACAAGCGAACAAGCATAGGAATTGTGAGGACAGCCCAAAAGAACAGTATCAAAACAAAAGTTCTCCCATTCATTTGTGGCAGAAAATATGGAAGACAATGCAGAGTGCTTGTTTTAGAGTTCTTTTTGTAGCAATTTGAGATTGTAGGAGAAGACCTCTACTCACTTAGCTGGCCCTGTTTTATAATTCAATGTCATAAAGTTGTTAACCAATACTCAAAATTGATATCTATTATTGATTAGCTTGACAATGACCTTGTGAATTGTGCATTTCGGTAGTTGGCGAGTCATTGTAACTTGTACCAATTGAGCTTTTGATTAAGATTCCACTCCACCAGTCTTTTAACTGTATTCAAGTCCAGGTCTGCTGCAACTTAGGAGGCAGTAATTTTCCAGAACAATCTTCATCCAATTGCCCCTGGGTTTTCAGGGCAGTTGGCTCAATGGCCATGCTAGCAGGATTTCCAAAGAGAACGAGATATGATTAAGGTTTTTTTTTTCTTTTTTCTTTTTTTAATTTAGTACAGAGGAAAACAAAAGAAACTGCAATGCTTTACTATGAATGACCCCAGCAAGAGTGTACTCGTATGTGCAGCTGCTCCAGTATCAAAAAAGGTAATAACAGTAATTGGGTTTTCATATATCCCAACTGCCCAAAGATCTGAAGAAAACCAAGGTTTTTTTTAAAGAACATCAAAAGAAAATAGGATACAAGCTTAGGGGAGAGATGGATGAACCTCTAGGTCTTCACCTTTCACTTTGAAACATCAACTTCATATAAATCAAGTAAATATATTGAAGCTCTGAATGAATGAATAAAATAGTGAAACTGGATTTCCAAAAGGGAGGTGCAACAAGTTGTAGTAAGGCTAGCAGCAGCGCGCATTTCTGACCGACTTCCTCACAAGGCGGTGGAGCAACACCAGACACTTTTTTTTAAGAACATCAAAAGAAAATAGGATACAAGCTTAGGGGAGAGATGGATGAACCTCTAGCTCTTCACCTTTCACTTTGAAACATCAACTTCATATAAATCAAGTAAATATATTGAAGCTCTGAATGAATGAATAAAATAGTGAAACTGGATTTCCAAAGGGAGGTGCAACAAGTTGTAGTGAGGCTAGCAGCAGCGCGCATTTCTGACCGACTTCCTCACAAGGCGGTGGAGCAACACAAGACACTTGCATCGCCATAAATTCATAATTACTTTCTCTGCTTCCCACAGATTTGCACTTCTTTATTTTTTTTTTGTGGGGTGGTAGGTGTTCCACCAAGGAAATGTATTCCTCTGGATGTGAATAGAAATGAAAATTACAAAAACAGTATATCATATAAACCAGGGTTGGTCCAACCAAGCAGCATAGTCAATTGTATCCAAGTATATAATAAAGTAAACCAGAGTTCAACCGAGACAAGCTTCAAAAGTCTGCACTGATGATGGGAAAGAGAAGATAAATTGCTCAACAAATAAAACATCCAACAAGAAATTATGTTGTCCATCGCACCATCCACATTTCATTACCTCATTCTGCAAATGTCTTAAGAACCTTATCCTAGGACAAGGATTGAAAGACTGCCCACAACTCTCGCACCCTCAAATATCCATTGGAGCCACAGTCGCGTCAGCAGGGGCACTTTGGTCGCCTTGGTCTTCAGCAGCAGCAGCTTCTTCAGCAGCAGGAGCTTCTTCACCAGCAGCAGGAGCTTCTTCCCCGACTATCTCAAATGCATCAATCAATGCTTGCACCGTTTCATTATCCAATATATGGAACGCCTCTCCTACTCCTACCACAGAAACCGTGCATATGGAGCTCTTGAGCTTTTCTCCCTGTAAAGTTTCCCTCAATGCAAAGAGTGCATCCTTGAGTAGATCTTCCCGTGTAGAGCTTATGAAGCTTTCAAACCTGCGTTCCAAGTATGTCTTAGCTGCTTGTGAGCGGGACCCAATGGCAAAAGCTTGGTATTCGAAATAGTTTCCACTTGGGCAATTGTAGTAGAGGTGAGCCCCAGATTCATCCAAGCCAGCTACCAGCAAACCAACCCCATACGGCCGTTTCCATGAGCGCTGGGTACAAACCTGCAACCAAGAAAGTAACAATTACAATGATCTTGCATACACAGGAGTAAATTTGCTACTTCTCACACCCACATTTAGAGAAATGTTGAAGAGAATGAAAGCACATGCTGAATTGTGAACCAAAAAAAATTTAAGATTCAGGAGCACCCCAAAAAGACTGACTTCCTATACAGCAAGCAGTAACGCAGGTCAGCTGAAACAGTATTGGAAGAAAACCAAATTAGTCCTCGTAGTTTCAAGACCTGGGAAATGTCACTATCAAATGCCAACCTGATTTTTCTAACATCAAATTCTTATCCACAGCATGACAAGTTCCATAAATGGTATGGTAATTTTGAAGCAAACTGATATTGTTCCAGACTCTGTTGTAAAATTTCTAGGTAAATGGACATTCCTTTCCACTATCACTCTCTCCATCCAAGAACAATGCCACTATCACCTCCCCCACATTCGGTGATCACAAGGCTGCTCAGTACCTACCATCTTCCCATAAGGCTCCACACCAGCCACTTCATCTCCAACCATCCACATTCTACTCCACTAGGGAAGAGTGGTGACAACAAGGCACTGCAGTCACCACAGTGGTTGTCCTCAACTAAGCCTTCTGCAAGTGTATTATTTTGGCTAGTTTGATCACCAAAATCAATTAAATCAGTTTAATATGACATAACATAAGAAGTTGGCTTCACCCAAGTTGGAAGTATTTAATTTAAAAATAAAATAAAATCATAATCAGGTGTTTAGATGTTTCATTTTCAAATAAAAACATACTTGAAGCTCACAATCTAGAAGTACAAAACAAATTGTTTAGTTTACTTGTACACCAAACATGATTACTTACCAAATTGTTTATATATAGAATCAAAGTTCATCAACTAACAAATACTCAAAATCAATTTGAAAAGTTCAAACCAAACATAACCTTAATTTTCCATTTGGTAAAATCAAGCAAGCCTGTCCATTACCAACGAAACCAGGTTTTACACTACCCACGGCCACGTTGGGCTTGTAACCAATATCTCTGACCATGGCTAAATCAGAAAATATCATTACAATTTACAAGAAATCTCTCCCATCAATCCTAACTATCACCCAACACATTGCATATTATTATCACCAAAATGGCTGGCAAACCAATACCACAAATTTGAAAATTCAAAACAAAATAATCTAAGAAGCACAAACAAGGACATGACATGCTGACACAACAATTTTTAATGACAGATATTTTTTTAATTTTTTTTTATCAACAAAAAAAACTGTATTGATAATTCAAAAAAAGCAAGTGAGGCTGAGGCATCCTCTTACAAAAGGACAATGGTAATACATAAAATGAAACCCGTAACAATCTAATCCCAAGCAAAAACCTACATATCACACACCGCCAACCAATCTCTATCTAACAAAAAAAGTGAGACTCCCTTGTGATATGAAAAGCTAAAGAATCATCCCAGCCAACTAAGCAAAAAAAATGGATCCACAAGTTGATCGTGTACTTAACATACAAACCTCTGTATTGCCATTATAAAAAATTTCTGTCAAAATTTAAGCAAGTATCAAACTTCTCGAGTATAATCTGCATGTTACAGTTCAACCAAATAAAGAAAGACACTTATCCACAGATCTCCCCACATGAAATCTCCACTGATATTCAATAATATATTATGATGAACTTTATTGCCTTACAGCATTTGACTAAATCCCACACCCCATACCCCATAATGATATGATTTCCAAGACAAATTAACGAAGATTGAACAACAATGGTAATTGATTGAGGACTATGTGCACAATTTATTCAAAGAAAGAGATAAAACTACTATTACAATAAATTTTGCCTCTTGATGTTAAAGGCGCGCCTAGGCGTGCACCTAGGCCCAAGTCCATCCAGGCCCAAGGTTTGCGCTTTGTAGTGTTCCAGGCCAGGCAACTTTGATAAGGCACGCCTAGGCGTGTGCTTAGGCCCAAGTCCCATCCAGACCTAAGGTTTGCGCCTTATAGTGTTCCAAGCTAGGCAACTTCAATAAGGTGCCTGACTGTTCTAAGGCACAATAAGGACCAAGGCTTACGTCTTGATGGCTTTTTTTATTGTTGCTTCAATTAGTTTTGTTTAAAATCTGACCATTGATTTAATATGGTATAGCTACAGAAGATCCCTACTACAGATGTCAATACATTGGGCATTTAGCCCCAAATCAATGATAGAAGAAAAATTAGCCCTAATCCGTAATCGCTGAACAACACTACATGTTTAACATTTCATTTTATTTATGTTGAACCCTAAATTATTTACTTATATTAAATTATATTTTTTTCCCGTACAAGGTGCGCCTCACTTCAGTGAAGCCTGCACCTTAACTTGCGCCTTGAGCCTAGACCCCAAGAGACCTTGGCACCTTGATGCGCCTATCGCCTTTAATAAGTTCGAATTTGAATTCTCTCTATGAAAATGAGCCAATAATTCTTGCGAAAAATATTGGACAAATATTTTGAAAGGCATGCTAGACAAAAAAATTATATTATAATTCATGTCTATACATTTCGCCCCCTTATCATAGAAAGTTAGCCCTTAAGGTTACCTTAAGATATTAGTCATCATAAGCTTAAAAAAGAAATAGGGTATAGGAAGGAAAGTAGTATCTGTTCATCAACATTTTCATTCATGCGAATATTATGCATGGAAAGTATGGGAAGTATTAGAGACAAAGGGGAAAACCAGAACAAATGCTAATATTGTTATTTGGCATGATCTAATTGGCAACATTCGCCCCTTTTGGTAGAACTGTGGAAAAGTGATTATAAATTATAGTTTAACATATTATAACTTATAACTGTGAACATAAACTGATAACCTGTTTGGTGCAGCTGTGGGATTATAGATTTAAGCAGTTGAGTAGTGTTTGGTTGATAAGCTGTAAAATAACTTTTGCTGTATAATTGTCATTTTTGCCCTTATATGATATAAAAATGATTATTTTGTCATTTTTTTTCAGTTTTAATTTTAAAAAAGTTATTTCATTAATAAAAGTTATATAAAATTAGTATTACAAAAATTATTATTTTCATTAATTGTATCAATTACTATAAAATTATTTCATTTTTTCATTATAAATTAATTAGTGTCAATTAATGGCTTAATTAGCATCAATGCTTTTTTTTTCTTTTTCTTCATTTCTTTTTTCTTTTTCTCCTTTTTTTCTTTTCTCTTCTTTCTTTTTCTCCTTAGTATTAATGTTGTGATGTCAATACATTATTTTTCTTTATATTAATTTCAATTAGTTATTTAATAGAAGTTATATTAATTTTAACTTTTTTTCATTACAATTAATAATATAACAATTATTATTTTTTTAATTTAGTGATATTTCATTTTTTCATTTTTTCATTTTTAGTAATTCATTTATTCATTTGACAAATCCTTTCATTTTTTTCAATTTATATCAATTTTTTTTAGTGATATTTCATTTTTTCATTTTTAGTAAAATTATTTTATTTTTTCATTATAAATTAATTAGTGTCAATTAATGGCTTAATTAGCATCAATTAATACTAAAATTGTTAATTAGTATAAATTAATATAAAATTTATTTCATTAATATAAAATTGTTAATTAGTATCAATAAATTAATTAGTGTCAATTAATAGCTTAATTAATATTATGATTTTTAATTAATTATTATTATTAGTATCAATAAATTTATTTCATTTTTAATTAATTATTATTATGATTTTTTAATTAAAAAAACACTGAAAACCTCCACAAAAAAAAAACCCACACTGAAATCCATCGCCGGAGACGAACCAACGCCGAAGAGAGAGAGAGAGAGCAGCAGCAGCAAAGAACCAATGCCGGATGACGACGGACGGTTGATCGTCACCATTGATCGTCACGCAATTGATCGTGACTCTAGGGTTTTAGATCACGATCGTCACGCAGTCGATGGTTAGGGTTTCGATCACTAAGAGAGAGAGAGAGAGAGAGAGAGAAAAGAGATCTGGTTCGTGAGTGTGAGAGAGAGCACTAGTTCGTGAGAGGGAGAGAGAGACAGAGAGCACTGGTTTGTTGACCGCCGGAAATCGCCTCTCGCCGGAAATTGCCCACCGAAAATCGCCTCTCTCTCTCTCTCTCCCTCCCTCTCAGAGAATGAACAGTGATGTTTGGTGGTTTATATAATGGCAATTTGGTAATACTTCAAATTAGTAAAGAGCATTTAAGTAATTTTGTCCCTCAATTTGTAGCTTCCCGCTTAAGCTGAATGAGTAAGCACCTCAGAGGCCACTCAGCCAAAAAGCACTTTTTTGGCTTAATTTAAGCCACAAAAAGTGATTTTAAGTTTTACCAAACACACTAAAACAGCTTAAAATAATCTAAAAGCTGAGTCAAGCAGCTTTTAAGCTCTACCAAACACCCCCATTATAACCTAAAAATTGTCTAGAAAATTAAATTCTCTACCACTACTTTATATTTATCCTTCCAAGTCAAGAGAGCAGTTTTGCAATTATGTTTTGGGCTCTAAAGTGGGCTGCATCTATGAGCTAATTTACTTTCCATTTTTTTTTTTAACCGGGTGTTTGTGTCAGCTTACACACACCTCGATTAATCCCCGGAGACCAATCCCACCATTCACTTGAGGGGGACCCATTTAAAGCCAGAGCAACAGTTTTGCAATTGTGTTTTGGGCTCTAAAGTGGGCTGGCCTCTATGGGCTAATTTACTTTCTTCTTCTTTTTTTCTTGTTGATAACCGAGTGTCTGCACCAGTTTACGCACACCTCGACTAATCCTAGGAAACCAATCTCACCGTCCACTTGTGGGAGCCCCATTTAAAGCTAGGGCGAATGCCCTATATGGACATGGTCCCAAGGAACTTATTGATGGTAATGGGTATTGAACTTGAGACCTGGAGGGAACATACCACAGGTCCCAAGTTTTGCCCATTAGGCCAACCCCTTGAGATTATGGGCTAATTTACTTTAAGTTTGCTTTAGAGGCCGGATATGGCCCTTGTCTTAACCTTCTGCTTGGACCAAGTTTCCTTGGTTTCCAAGTTATCTTGGCCACCAAAAAGAGTGGAGAGAGCAAGTCATAGCCCCTACAAAAAATTTCAAAAACCCATATATATATTTCTTTATCACATATGGTTGTTTGGACGTAATTTCTTATGCATAGTCCATACAAAAACTTAAAAACCACAAATTGTGCCTTTGCATGTAGCCTTTCCCCAAAAGATATCAGAGATAACCCACTCAAATAGAATAGACAACTTACCATTGCTTGAGTTCCCAATCCCACATAAGATAGAAGATAAGTCATAACATGATAAGAGAGATAAGTCATAACATGATAAGAGGCTTATAAAAGTGTGGCCTGTCATCAGGGCCGGCCCTGAGATTTAGGAGGTCTAAGGCGAACTTTGGAAATGGGGCCTTCTTATATTGAAAAAAAAAAAAAAAAAAAGTTTATGGATAAAACGATAAGTTATAACAATTTTTTTATTTATTTGTAGCCACAAAAAAATTTAGTTGCACATATAATCATTAAAATTATAAACAAAATAATTTAATGAAACAAAATTAAGAAAAAAATTATTCAATTAAAACTGATAAAAAAAAATTAGGGTAAAATTATTTATTCCACTAAAATCTAATAGATGTAAAAAAAAATAAAAAAAATAGGGCAAATATATTGTATGTATTGTTTTTTTTGGGCTCAACACTTTTTTTTTCATCACTTCGTGAGACAGAGAGAGGGAGAGAGAAAGAGATTGAATTGAAAGCACTGAGAGCAGAGCACTTAGTCCATATGTTGTATGTATTATTTTTCGTGGGCCCAAACATTTTATTTTTTTTTTGGGTATATATTTTCATCTTAATAAATATGGACCAAATTACACTTACAAATAAATATGGGCTAAACTATACATGAGCCCAATAAAATATTTTGAGACCCTTTAAATTGATCTTAAAAAAAAATAAAAAATTAAGCCTATAACATTTTACTAAATTGAGGGCCCTATTTTTGAGCGAAAAGTATGGGCCTAAGGCATAGGCCTTATTGGCCTTTGGCCAGGGCCGGCCCCGCCTGTCATGTGGGATTTTATAGTTGGGCCAATTGTGAAGGTTTATCGGCTTAATGCACAATTATTATTAGTCAGCTAATGACTGTAACCCACCCAGTTAAAAAACCCATGCTCTGCTGTAAGGATTTTGTTCTTTGGTTGCTTCAAAAATAAAAGTGCTACACCCATTCAATTGCCCAATAAACTTGCACAATTTATACCATTGGTTTATATAAACAATGAATGGAGTTATTAATTCAGTGATGTGGGACTATGAGTAAGACAATACTTAACCAAAACATAACAGTATTACTTCTAGTTACTAAAATAAAGTTTTCTATCCTGCATCAAACAAGAAGAAAATACTTGGCATGCCCATGCCTCTATAACAGCAAGGTTTAAGTGTTTGAGTTCTCAATCCCACATCAAATAAACACCGAGGCATGATATGCAGCCCAACCTCTATAAAAGCAAGGATGTGGAAATCATTCCAAATTGAGACCATTGGTCTCTTATATTGGCTCTTGTTAATTTTGGTTAGGTCACGCAAGGGCCTTTATGAGCCCACATTGAGCAGTATTTTAATATCTTTATTTAAGTAGTTCAAAACTTATTGCAAACCTTTGGTAACGAGATCCAGCCAACCCACCACCCATGGGACCTGTCCTATGGCCATTCTTCCATCTCCTCCAATGATGTAGTCCAGGTTGACCCCTTATATATATGTGATGTTTAGTTTGTCGGATATAATGAATGGGGAAATCTTTTTCCCATTACTTGTGATGTGTCATGCATTCCTTCATAGCTGTGATTACCTAAGACCTAGGTGTGATTGCTTTATCTTGGTCGGTGCCTTCCGCAGCAACAACTGTGCTGAGATTTGTCTTTAACCTCCATCAAACTCCTCATTTAGCCTTATTTATAATCCATATTGTCATCATTCATTTCCTTTCTTTCCAGGATCCACTTAGACTAGGAAACCATGAACTTTGAGGAGCTCAAAAACCTCATCCTATTAGTTTAGCAACCTAAAGGTCAAAATGCACCAACTTATCATGTTTAAGCCGTGCACAAACACCTGACAAAGGAAAAGGTAAACTACCTTGAGCAAAGAAGAGAGGCGATTTTCCTTTTCTAAATTTACCTAAATCAAGATGAAGAAACTATGAGCCAAGAAATTACAGAAATAAAGATAATTTGGAATCTGAAATTTAGTACAGATGAACTACTACTAGTTGTCACACTCCCTTTCTTATATCCTCTCTTTCCATATCCAAAACATCAAAATAAAACTACTATCAAAACTATCCATACCAAGAACTTGCATACCTAAAACCATGACCCAACAATCAAGATAAAGCAAAACAACAACAATAATAATAATACCAGACATCAACTCAATGCTCAATCTTTTTTTCCTCCGTCCTCTGAATTTCATATGAATAACCATAACCCTCATATCATAACCCTTTCTCCCTGTCAGACTTCTAAAAAACCAAAATTGAAATTAAAGGCTTTGAATAGCAAGACATTTCCTTCTTTGGGATCTGACAAATAGAAAACCCCAATAGGGAGTTTTTTTGTGTGCTTCCTATCACTTAATTTCTAAGAACAAACAAAATTAGATTCAAATATGCTTACCCAAAAAACACTACCCATTCAAACATTAGATTCAAATTGACAAAAAAAATTACACCTTTTCCAAAAATCTCCCAATTCCCAACTCCTAAACTAAAACGCTAATCCTATTGCACTATCGTCAAATTCAAAATCAACAGTAACATAAAATGCATAAATCAATATACATTTATATAAATTAGGGTTTGGTTAGACCTGGGCTTTGTCAGCGAGCTGAACGACGAGGCGGCCAACGGGGAGAGGAGACTCGTAAGTGTAGCTGTAATTGATGCACTCGGATCGCATATACCGGGACAGAACACGGCCGTCGGCGGTGAGTCCGGCGATGGCGACGCCGATGTGATCGTCGACCTTGAAGATCTTCTTCTGGTAAGACGAGAGTTCGGACTGAGCCTTGTTAACGCTCGCCAACACAACGTGGGTCTTGGATCGGAGACCAATCGCCGCCGAGCCCTGCTTCACCGCCTCCATGGCGTACTCCACCTGGAAGAGCCTCCCTTGGGGACTCCATGTGGTCACATCTGTGTCGTACTGGTTCCTAAACATCTTCACCAAGTCCTATTCTTCACTTCACTCTCTCTCTCTCTCTCTCTCTCTCAGACTTTCTCTCTCTAGAATATGTGTATCACAATGGAGGAAGATGAGGGTTTTGTCAGCAGAGAGAAGAGGCTGTTTTCTTTTTCTTCAAGGCAGAGTGAAGAAAAAGAAAAAGATGGATTTCAGAGAGGGGTTTTGGTTTTGCGGGTTTTATTATGTAGGGTTTAATAGGGTAGAAACGGTTGTAGTTGAGTTTTACGGGTCTAAAGGTTTAGGGCCGTTGGATTGGTAAAGGTCGTGTGATTGTCAACGAAACAAACGATGAGGATGGGAAGGCTTTACAGCCTTGCATGATGGACGGTTCAATTGTTACGGTGGGCACAAAATAGTCAGCATACTGGGTTGGGCCACATTGTGAGATGTATATGGGCCGGTTGGGTACTATTAGATTTTGTTGATAGTAGTCTTTGTGGTCACGGGCCAGGTTTGGGATAGGTTTGTAATGATTCGCTCCTATCCCACATTTCATCTCGGGTGCGGGACAAATTGAGGGATGATAGTAGCAGGGTGGGTGCAGAGTGGATAACAGGTTTTTTTTTATAAGTTGAAAAATAAAAAAAAAATTAACAAAATTATAATATATTATGGATAATAATTCATAATTAATAAGAATTATAACAACTAAGATATAAAATAAATGATTAAAAATTAATTTTAAGTATAATATTCTAGTGTTTTTATTTTATTATAATGAAAAAAATGAGATTATATATATTATATACATATAATTATACTTAATAAATATAATCGGGATAGGGTCAGGTACAATGGAGCGAGGGAAGCAAAACTCGTCCCCACTCCACTTCCTCAACAGGACAGGGAAAATCCTTTGGGAATAGCATGGGAGAAAATGCCCGGGAAAATCCTTTGGGAATAGCATGGGAGAAAATGCCCATCCCTAAGTCTTTGTATGGAATCAGGAGAAAATGCCCGGGAAAATCCTTTGGGAATAGCATGGGAGAAAATGCCCGGGAAAATCCTTTGGGAATAGCATGGGAGAAAATGCCCGGGAAAATCCTTTGGGAATAGCATGGGAGAAAATGCCCATCCCTAAGTCTTTGTATGGAATCAAGGCCCATTACATTATTCTTTCAGCCCACAAAAGTCCTTCAGATATTACAACCCAAGGGCAATGTCTAGTTTGGCTGGCCTTAAAAATTGGCTTTATAATGGGCCTTTTTTTGTCATTTTAATCAAAATTCTTTGAAAAAGCTTAGGTACAAAGGTTTTCACATAATAAAACGCAAATGTGTAATAAACGGTGATACTGTAAAAATTTCATGGGATCCTAGTATAGTTGTCACGCAGTCGATGGTTAGGGTTTCGATCGCTGAGAGAGAGAGAGAGAGAGCACTGGTTTGTTGACCGCCGGAAATCGCCTCTCTCTCTCTCTCTCTCACAGAGAATGAACAGTGATGTTTGTGGTTTATATAATGGCAGTTTGGTAATACTTCAAATTAGAAAAGGGCATTTAAGTAATTTTGTCCCTCAATTTGTAACTTCCTGCGTAAGCTGAATGAGTAAGCACCCCAGAGGCCACTCAGCCAAAAAGCACTTTTTTGGCTTAATTTAAGCTAAAAAAAGTGATTTTAAGGGTTGGTTTGGCATAAACTAAATAATACAAAAAGTCAAAAAGTCATTATCCTATTTAAGTCACATCATCTTATTTAAATCACATCACCTCTCTAACACATTACATCAAACCCAACCCAAACCCAACCCATATAAGCCAATAAGTCAAAAAGTGCACTTTTTGAAAACATCCCAAACCAACCCTAAATTTTACCAAACACACCAAAACAGCTTAAAATAATCTAAAAGCTGAGTTAAGCAGCTTTTAAGCTCTACCAAACACCCCCATCATAACCTAAAAATTGTCTAGAAAATTAAATTCTCTACCACTGCTTTATATTTATCCTTCCAAGTCAAGAGAGCAGTTTTGCAATTATGTTTTGGGCTCTAAAGTGGGCTGCCTCTATTGAGCTAATTTACTTTCTTTTTTTTTTTTTAACCGGGTGTCTGTGTCAGCTTACACACACCACGATTAATCCCTGGAGACCAATCCCACCATCCACTTGAGGGGGACCCATTTAAAGCCAGGGCAACAGTTTTGCAATTGTGTTTTGGGCTCTAAAGTGGGCTGGCCTCTATGGGCTAATTTACTTTCTTCTTCTTTTTTTCCTGTTGATAACCGAGTGTCTGCACCAGTTTACGCACACCTCGACTAATCCTAGGAAACCAATCTCACCGTCCACTTGTGGGAGCCCCATTTAAAGCTAGGGCGAATGCCCTATATGGACATGGTCCCAAGGAACTTATTGATGGTAATGGGTATTGAACTTGAGACCTGGAGGGAACATACCACAGGTCCCAAGTTTTGCCCATTAGGCCAACCCCTTGAGATTATGGGCTAATTTACTTTAAGTCTGCTTTAGAGGCCGGATATGGCCCTTGTCATAACCTTCTGCTTGGACCAAGTTTCCTTGGTTTCCAAGTTATCTTGGCCACCAAAAAGAGTGGAGAGAGCAAGTCATAGCCCCTACAAAAAATTTCAAAAACCCATATATATATTTCTTTATTATATATGGTTGTTTGGACGTAATTTCTTATGCATAGTCCATACAAAAACTTAAAAACCACAAATTGTTCCTTTGCATGTAGCATTTCCCCAAAAGATATCAGAGATAACCCACTCAAATAGAATAGACAACTTACCATTGCTTGAGTTCTCAATCCCACATAAGATAGAAGATAAGTCATAGCATGATAAGAGAGATAAGTCATAACATGATAAGAGGCTTATAAAAGTGTGGCCTGTCATCATGGCCGGCCCTGAGATTTAGGAGGTCTAAGGCGAACTTTGGAAATGGGGCCTTCTTATATTGAAAAAAAAAATTAAAAATTTATGGATAAAACGATAAGTTATAACAACATTTTTACTTGTTTGTAGTCACAAAAAAATTTACTTGCACATATAATCATTAAAATTATAAACAAAATAATTTAATGAAACAAAATTAAGAAAAAAATTATTCAATTAAAACTGATAAAGGCCTAGGTAAAAAAAATTAGGGTAAAATTATTTATTCCACTAAAATCTAATAGATGTAAAAAAAATTAAAAAAATTAGGTCAAACATGTTGTATGTATTGTTTTTTTTGGGCTCAACACTTTTTTTTTTCATCAGTTCGTAAGAGAGAGAGAGGGAGAGAGAAAGAGATTGAATTGAAAGCACTAAGAGCAGAGCACTTAGTCCATATGTTGTATGTATTGTTTTTCTTGGGCCCAAACATTTTTTTTTTTTTTGGTATATATTTTCATCTTAATAAATATGGACCAAATTACACTTACAAATAAATATGGGCTAAACTATACATGAGCCCAATAAAATATTTTGAGACCCTTTAAATTGATCTTAAAAAAAAATAAAAAATTAAGCCTATAACATTTTACTAAATTGAGAGCCCTATTTTTTAGCCAAAAGTATGGGCCTAAGGCATAGGCCTTGCTAACCTTTGGCCAGGGCCAGCCCCGCCTGTCATGTGGGATTTTATAGTTGGGCCAATTGTGAAGGTTTATCGGCTTAATGCACAATTATTATTAGTCAGCTAATGACTGTAACCCACCCAGTTAAAAAACCCATGCTCTGCTGTAAGGATTTTGTTCTTTGGTTGCTTCAAAAATAAAAGTGCTACACCCATTCAATTGCCCAATAAACTTGCACAATTTATACCATTGGTTTATATAAACAATGAATGGAGTTATTAATTCAGTGATGTGGGACTATGAGTAAGACAATACTTAACCAAAACATAACAGTATTACTTCTAGTTACTAAAATAAAGTTTTCTATCCTGCATCAAACAAGAAGAAAATACTTGGCATGCCCATGCCTCTATAACAGCAAGGTTTAAGTGTTTGAGTTCTCAATCCCACATCAAATAAACACCGAGGCATGATATGCAGCCCAACCTCTATAAAAGCAAGGATGTGGAAATCATTCCAAATTGAGACCATTGGTCTCTTATATTGGCTCTTGTTAATTTTGGTTAGGTCACGCAAGGGCCTTTATGAGCCCACATTGAGCAGTATTTTAATATCTTTATTTAAGTAGTTCAAAACTTATTGCAAACCTTTGGTAACGAGATCCAGCCAACCCACCACCCACGGGACCTGTCCTATGGCCATTCTTCCATCTCCTCCAATGATGTAGTCCAGGTTGACCCCTCATATATATGTGATGTTTAGTTTGTCGGATATAATGAATGGGGAAATCTTTTTCCCATTACTTGTGATGTGTCATGCATTCCTTCATAGCGGTGATTACCTAAGACCTAGGTGTGAGTGCTTTATCTTGCTCGGTGCCTTCCGCAGCAACAACTGTGCTGAGATTTGTCTTTAACCTCCATCAAACTCATCATTTAGCCTTATTTATAATCCATATTGTCATCATTCATTCCCTTTCTTTCCAGGATCCACTTAGACTAGGAAACCATGAACTTTGAGGAGCTCAAAAACCTCATCCTATTAGTTTAGCAACCTAATGGTCAAAATGCACCAACTTATCATGTTTAAGCCGTGCACAAACACCTGACAAAGGAAAAGGTAACTACCTTGAGCAAAGAAGAGAGGTGATTTTCCTTTTATAAATTTACCTAAATCAAGATGAAGAAACTATGAGCCAAGAAATTACAGAAATAAAGATAATTTGGAATCTGAAATTTAGTACAGATGAACTACTACTAGTTGTCACACTCCCTTTCTTATATCCTCTCTTTCCATATCCAAAACATCAAAATAAAACTACTATCAAAACTATCCATACCAAGAACTTGCATACCTAAAACCATGACCCAACAATCAAGATAAAGCAAAACAACAACAATAATAATAATACCAGACATCAACTCAATGCTCAATCTTTTTTTCCTCCGTCCTCTGAATTTCATATGAATAACCATAACCCTCATATCATAACCCTTTCTCCCTGTCAGACTTCTAAAAAACCAAAATTGAAATTAAAGGCTTTGAATAGCAAGACATTTCCTTCTTTGGGATCTGACAAATAGAAAACCCCAATAGGGAGTTTTTTTGTGTGCTTCCTATCACTTAATTTCTAAGAACAAACAAAATTAGATTCAAATATGCTTACCCAAAAAACACTACCCATTCAAACATTAGATTCAAATTGACAAAAAAAATTACACCTTTTCCAAAAATCTCCCAATTCCCAACTCCTAGACTAAAACGCTAATCCTATTGCACTATCATCAAATTCAAAATCAACAATAACATAAAATGCATAAATCAATATACATTTATATAAATTAGGGTTTGGTTAGACCTGGGCTTTGTCAGCGAGCTGAACGACGAGGCGGCCAACGGGGAGAGGAGACTCGTAAGTGTAGCTGTAATTGATGCACTCGGATCGCATATACCGGGACAGAACACGGCCGTCGGCGGTGAGTCCGGCGATGGCGACGCCGATGTGATCGTCGACCTTGAAGATCTTCTTCTGGTAAGACGAGAGTTCGGACTGAGCCTTGTTAACGCTCGCCAACACAACGTGGGTCTTGGATCGGAGACCAATCGCCGCCGAGCCCTGCTTCACCGCCTCCATGGCGTACTCCACCTGGAAGAGCCTCCCTTGGGGACTCCATGTGGTCACATCTGTGTCGTACTGGTTCCTAAACATACGGTTGTAGTTGAGTTTTACGGGTCTAAAGGTTTAGGGCCGTTGGATTGGTAAAGGGCGTGTGATTGTCAACGAAACAAACGATGAGGATGGGAAGGCTTTACAGCCTTGCATGATGGACGGTTCAATTGTTACGGTGGGCACAAAATAGTCAGCATACTGGGTTGGGCCACATTGTGAGATGTATATGGGCCGGTTGGGTACTATTAGATTTTGTTGATAGTAGTCTTTGTGGTCACGGGCCAGGTTTGGGATAGGTTTGTAATGATTCGCTCCTATCCCACATTTCATCTCGGGTGCGGGACAAATTGAGGGATGATAGTAGCAGGGTGGGTGCAGAGTGGATAACAGGTTTTTTTTTATAAGTTGAAAAATAAAAAAAAAATTAACAAAATTATAATATATTATGGATAATAATTCATAATTAATAAGAATTATAACAACTAAGATATAAAATAAATGATTAAAAATTAATTTTAAGTATAATATTCTAGTGTTTTTATTTTATTATAATGAAAAAAATGAGATTATATATATTATATACATATAATTATACTTAATAAATATAATCGGGATAGGGTCAGGTACAATGGAGCGAGGGAAGCAAAACTCGTCCCACTCCGCTTCCTCAACAGGACAGGGAAAATCCTTTGGGAATAGCGTGGGAGAAAATGCCCCATCCCTAAGTCTTTGTATGGAATCAAGGCCCATTTCATTATTCTTTCAGCCCACGAAAGTCCTTCACATGTTGGCCTTAAAAATTGGCTTTATAATGGGCCTTTTTTGTCATTTTAATCAAAATTCTTTGAAAAAATTTAGGTACAAAGGTTTTCACATAATAAAACGCAAATGTGTAATAAACGGTGATACTGTAAAAATTTCATGGGATCCTAGTATAGTTGAATTCTTTTTTTTTTAAAATTTTCTTAATGAGTATTTTAAAGTGCACTCTTAACAAGTTTTAAATAATTATATAATTTATAAAAATATGTGCTGTAAAAACATGTAATTATTTTTAGTTTTATAGACACTGCTAGACCTAAAATAAAACTAACAAACGATTAAAGTTTATCAAGTGTCCCAACACTTCTTACCTAATCAATAATGATAACCATTTCACAATGACATACATGAAAATCACAATCTAAGTCCAGTCCTTTCACAATTATTATCCTATAATTTCGGTTTAGGAATATTAGAATTAGAAATTTTACTTAAAATAAGCATTGTATGTATGTGAGTCTCACTGTATAAGAATTAAATCTAAATCACACATTATAATTTATTATAATTCAAAATAAATTTCTTGATAATTTTTTCGAGTCCACATCTTTTTAAATTTTTGTTAGGCAACGAACGGTGGTTGGCTCAATTCATGCAGGAAAATTATTTGCAACTGGAGCTTGCTTTTTGAGCCAAATCAATGTTTTTGAAGGGCCCATTTGTGCTTGTATTAGACAATGACATAAAAGTATACTTTGGTGACTATCCGTTTGCCATCAAAGCTGTACTAATCCAGTCACTATTCACTAATTTTTTATTTTTTATTTTTTAAAACATGATCGTGACTAATAAGTTAAAACAATGTATAAAGGGAAGAACCGTTCAAAAAATAAATGTATAAAGGAGAGAATCCAAGCCAATCATTATCTTAAATCAAAAAGCAAAAGTAAATACTACAACCCATGTTGCTCCAGTGCCTTCAATTCTTTCAATCTATGATTGATCCATCTTTTTTGTAAAGATTCTATCCCTAAAGGTGGAGTCTCATCAAAAGCACATCCCACTTGGATTTATTTTCCAACTAATGAATCACAAGGATTTTTAACCTTTTGATGGTTTGCTGACAATTTTAGTTCAATACTGTGTCATCATTTTTACTTTGGTCCGGTTTAGGACAAGGGTTGTGATTAAAATAATTATATAAAATAAAATAGGCTATCTTAATTAAATAAGATAAAATATCACATTTAATTCATAATTATTTTATTTTTTCTCTCACAAAAATTAAAAAAGTCAAAAAATATATTTCAAACGAAATTTTTTAACCCCTAATAAAATAGACAAAAAAACTAAAAATTCAAAAAATTAACCCACATCCCAAACCAACCATTTATTTTGATTTCTGAGTGGTTGAATGACTATGCATTCAATCTATTTAACAGGCTTTTGCCATGTAACTCTCCAATGAGCCCCTTCTGTACCAAAAAATTCAAGGTTAATGTTAGGAATATCAAATTTTTTACTACATAAATTATTAATTTGTGAATTTAACACCCATATGAGACATTTAGTCATTTATTCAGTAGAAAATTTAGGACCTATAGCATTTTTCAAAATTTAAATCTAGCATAGGTGGAATGTCATAAGTTTTATTTATTTTTTAAGAATGGTGCTATCCAGTTTAAAGATGTGCGATTCGGGTTTATAGGCCTCATTAATGAGATGCTATTCAAGTTTATACCTAGTAGGTTAACAATTGAAACAATCTATCTTTTGAAGAGAGTAATAGAAAAGTACAGAAAAAAAAAAGAGATATTCATGTGGTTTTTATCGAACTTGAGAAAGCATATGATAGACTGCCTCGGGACATAATCTGGTGGGTATTAAAGAAGAAAGAGGTGACAAAGGGTTATATTGATGTGATTAAGGATATTTATGAAGTTGTGGTGACCACAATTAGATCGCCTGTTGGAGAAATAAGTGAATTTTCAATTACTGTAAGATTACACCAACGATCAACATTAAATTATTATCTTTTCGCTTTAGTTATGAATGAGTTAACGCGCATTATTCAGGATGATGTGCCATGGTGTATACTTTTTACAGATGATATCGTGTTAGTGGATGAGACTAGAGAATGAATTGACACTAAGTTGGAAATTTGAAAAGAAAAAAAAAACACTTGAATCTGAAGGATTTAGGATAAATAGAACTAAGACAGAGTATATGAAGTGTAATTTTAGTAATAATTACAATGGAAGCAAAGTAGAAGTGAAAATTGAGAACCAAGAACTACCTAAGAGTGAATATTTTCATTATTTAAGATCGATTATCACAACGATTAGAGAGATTGGAGCGGATATGGTCTATAAAATTAAGGGGAGGTGGTTTAAATGGAAGAGTGTGTCTGGAGTACTGTACGATAAACGAGTACCCATTAGACTAAAAGGAAAATTCTATAGAACGGCTATTAGACCAGCGATATTATATGAGACGAAAATGTTGGGTAATTAAGAAACAATATGTAGACAAGATAAGTGTTACTAAAATGCGGATGCTAAGGTGGATTTGTGGTAAGACTAAAAAAGACTGAATTAGGAATGAGTATGTTTAAGAATTGGTAGGAGTAAAACCGATAGAAGATAAATTAAGAGAGAATAAATGGAGATGGTTTGATCATATAAAACGAAGACCAACAGAGACAATAGTGGAGAGATGCGATACAATGATGATAGATGATAGTGTTAGGAGAAGGGGTATGCCTAGATTGACATGAACTAGTGTAGTAAATAGAGATATGAACCTTCTTAATTTGACTAATGAAATATCCTTGAATAGAGTCAAGTGGAGAAGAAGGATTCATGCAGCCAACCCCATTTGATGAGACTTAAGGCTTGGTTTGGTTTGGTTTGATTTGGTTTGGTTTGGTAATTTAGTATTTAACCTATTAGAATGACTAATTTAAGAGATCAATTTCACCGCCGATTAGCGGGGGGTTCCAATTAAAGTCAGGGCAAAGTTTTTATATTGGCTGGTCCTAAGAAATTGTTTACATCTAGAAGATTGTGAATTTGTGACCTAGAAAGGAGCACACACTAAGGCCTTAAGTCCTAACTATCAAGCCAACCCTTTGGGGTTTTCGATAATTAGAGTTATTCGTTTTTATATGACTCTCTATGTATATCATTCATAAAAAAAAATTAAATTAAATCGTTAATTGTAAATGTTTTATTTTATCATACTTGTGTAAAAAAAATAACCAGCAAATATTTGTTTAAAAATAATCTATCCATTTTTTTTAATTTAAAAAATGCAATAAAATAAAAAGATTACGATTATCAAATCGATCCTAAAAATAAATAGATCATATCATTGAAAAGGCTCATGGTAAGCCCCACGAGCACGAACAACATCTCTTCAATTTAGATCAAGACTAAAGAGAAGTCTATCCCTTTTTTGTTAGATAGGAGAATTTGCTATTAAAGAAACCCTTTCACTTACTTTTAAATTTTTAGACAAATTACAAATACACTTCCTAAAATTTCTTTAAAATACGGATTGCACTTTTTGAATCTCTCTCGATGCATTTCTTTTCCTTATACTTGCAATTTCATATTTTTAATAAAAATTTTACTTTGCCGATCCAAAAAATAAAAATATTTATTTAAAATATGAATTGCACCCCGTGGTTTAAAAAATAATAAATATCCTATTGGCAAAAATTTTTATTTAAAAAAATTAACAAAATAAAATAAAATTCTTAATTGCTCTCATATACAATAATAAAATTATTTGAATTATTAATTGAAATAAATTCTAGTATCATTAAATTTGTTAATTTACTTGACGATTTATTAATAAAAAGAGTCATTTGTTATGAAATTGGAAATTTCAAAAGGCGAAATGTAATTTTCAAAATCACAAAAAATAATTTGTATTTTAAACAAATCTCAGAATGTGTATTTATAATTTAAAAAAGGAAAATGCGTGAGAGCTCGAATTGCAACTGCTCGAATCCCCCGAATGCCAAAACGACGTCGTTTTGGCAATTTTATTTTATTTTATTTTCTTTTCTTTTCTTTTTCCTTCTTCCTCGAAATTGGTTTGAGGGAAAGAAAGAGAAATAGAGAGGCCAGAGAAAGAGAGGAGGAAGAGGAGAGAAGAGGCGATGGCGGCGTACGATCAACGGTGGGTATCGTCGATCGACTGCTTTCTCTACTTTTTTTTTTCCTAGCAGATTTGGAAAAAAAAAAAAAAATTTGTTGACGATGATGATG